ACGACGACTGAATTGAGGGGCCTAAAAGCAGAGGGGTGAAAGTCAATTCTCTTCAACGATTTCCTCTTTTGATGACCATGGCTTCACTAACCTATTTCGCACTATTTCTGCTATGCTCTTCAATCATTAAAAACAACAAAAGTTTCAATGAATGTGTTTGCCAGGTTATTAACGAAACAGAAAGTCGATCAAAATCACTTGCACCCCTGCTTCCAAGTTTGGTTACAATATTACAACTCTGGAGAGCATTTTGTGTGGTCGTTGGGGGCGTGTGGTTCTGAATATGGCGATGAGTGTGCAAATTGTTATGTAATTGCATCCGCCCTATTCGCACACGCCCGAAGATCGGAGGCGAATACCACTTCGACTTGTTTCGTCTACTAATGACTCTCTAATGACAGTGTTGGGGAAGCAGCAATCCTACATCGACATGTTTAGTCTAGAAACGATTCTCTGATGACTGTGTTGGGGAAGCAGCATATGCATGTAAGGAATTGGTGGATTTGTTTGTTATTTCGACGCTTTTGGACAATGCTTGACATTTGCAACTTTTTCAATAGATTCTTGTTAAAAATCATCAGTCGGAAGCAATGTTATTGATGCGTAAAAATATTTCTGATCGATTGGTGATAAAATTATTGAAATTGGTCCAGGGGCAGCTAAGTTATTAACGTTCAAAATCTTTCATAATTTCGTTACATTTTCCATTTTCGGTTTTCACAAAGTGTACCCCCATATAGAAATCACAGACGTAGTTCTACGTCGAAAAGCTTGCTTGCCAAGTCTAAAACAATGATGTATACAAGTTCGAGTATAGAAACGTCAAAGTGATCCGATGTCAGCGCTGTCGTGATGGATTAGTGAAACTAATAATATTAAACTGAACGTTAAATCCATGAGCAGAAGAGTTACGTCTATTTGTCTGTGATATAACCACCGACAAACCGACATGAATGACCATAGCAAAAACAATAAAATTTCTGACCAAAGCACACTACTGACATCTGGGTCCGTGTTCGCGGGAAATATTTAGCTAAGCCATGAACCCGCATGCAAAAGTTATGCATTGGTTCGTGTCTGATCTATTCTGGACAAATTATTTTTATCTAGATCAATAAATCCTATGGTTTTGACAGTTCGGATCACTGCACATTTAAATCGGCCGTTTACGATTTTCGGGTATAAGTCAGAATTAAGTGAAGTAATGAAATTGGGTTGTTAGCGGAATGCTAAATAAAACAGCAAAAAAGGTTATCTTCCATTTAATTCCACTTAATTTTGGTATCCATGACAGATACGTATTTCGACTACAATGTGCAGTCTTCATCAGTGTCATTCCCACTGGCCCAATCAACGAATCAACTCGCGACCAACGCCGAAATCCCGTTTTGCGTGCCCTCAACTTAAGGCCCACATACCTAAACGGTTCAAGGGGAGTTGACTTAACTCACCCCCGATCTGATAGTTGGCGTTTAATTGTCTTGACATCGAATAGAGCAAGTCAGATATTTTTTAAAGCTTTATATGCCAACCAATGCGTGAATTTGTATATTGTTCGACAAGCATAATGATGGTCTATATGCCCAGGGAAGTCGAGAAAACTTGAAAATTTTTCTAGACTAGGACATATTTTATCGACGACATTCTCCACGTTTAGGACAGGCATCTCTCTTCGCACTGTCTTGGACAGTCGAAGACAACATGCTCCGGCGTTTCATCCACGTTGCCATACTCCGGACAGAGGAGTGATGCTGCATGTCCGAACCGATGCAGGTATTTCCTGAGGCAGCCGTAGCCAGACAGGAACTGCGTCCGGTGGTGGTTGACTTCTCCGTGTTTTCTGTTCACCTAGGTCGAAAGAATCGATAATAACTGTCCATCTACCGGCTAAAAATCACGGCAATAAAGAAAAAAAAATCTACCGTTATCCACCGTGTTCCACTCCTATTGCCCCTTTGCCAAAGACTCCGCTTTCACCACTATCGGTACTCTACCGGCTTCTCTCCGACTGTAGCACTCACTGTCCTCAACCAGGATCATTCCGGCGATAGCGCATACTGCTTCCGATGAGATGGCTCTGAACGCACTCGCGACTCGCATGGCCATGAGCCGGAACGTACTGCTCAGTTTCCTTTGGTTCTGCTTCGTTTCCAGTGCTGCAAACCAGGCTGGACCCCAATACCTCAGTATCTAGCCAGAAGACGCCTCTTGATATTGCTGGGAATAGAGGTGTTCAGCATGATTCTAGCTATTGTGTTGATGGCCTTCCCAGCATTCTCACAGACATATTCGACGTGGCTGTTGAAGTTTAGCCGGTCATCGATCATCACTCCCAGGCTTCGAGGCAAATGCGTTGGACCAAGGATGGAGCCTTGTGGAACTTCCGTTGTGATCCTAATCGACCTCTGTTCCATTTCAGTCTCGTAGACCAGAACCAGGCTCTGGCAGTAGCTTCTCAGAATCCTGCACCGGTAGTCAGGGATCTTCATTCTATGCAGCGCTTTGGCAATGGTTTTTCAGCTGCGCTGTAGAACGCATTCTTGACGTCGATCGTTATCACGGTGCAATATCGATCTCCTCTTCGCTTCTGTTTGGACGCCTTCTCGGCTTTCTCGACCATTGTCCGAATCGCATCCACCGTTGATCTCCCTTTCGGGAATCCAAACTGCCTCTCCGACAATACAAAACAAAAGCTGACTGGGCTGATTAGGTTGAAGCATTGTCCCTCTCAATTGACGATGTTATTTATCTCCGTTGAATTCGAGAATTTGTGATGACGAAATCTATTGAAAATTGAAAGTCAATCAAAACTTTTATGTAGAATTCAAGGAAATATGTAATGCTCTTTTTAATTTTCTAAGAATAAATGTTACTGACAATAAAGCAATGTTTTTATTACAATTGCAAAAAAAAATAGAAACAGGTTTACTGTGGTAAAAATGATTTTTCCAGCAAACAGCAATTCAAAACTCATTATTCCTAGTAGACGTATATTATATTGATGTAAATGAATTAAAATGTATGGATGAAAGACTTGTGCGTTGAATTGATTGATATTTGAATGAAAAAGCACTTAAAATCGTCAATTGTTAATTATACATCATATGCACATTTACCCCCGCATCCCCTAACATTCACATTACAGCGAAGTGTAAGAATAAGAATTATTCATAGCGTATTGTTTGAGAATTCATATTTAAAAACTTAAAAATTTAATGAAATCTGCAGGCTGACAAAATCGGGAAAGCACTGTACTACCAAAAATTGGCGTTGACGACACCGTCGAAAAATTGTCTCTTCTAGCAAAGATTGAAAGTTTCTTATGGAATTTTTCGGTGGAGTGAAAGGATAGTACGAAGTCCGCCATGTTTTACGCACAGTCTGACATTTGCTTATGGATTTTATCATAGGAGTAAAGAGCTACAGAGTCGCCGTCAACAGTCAAGAGTCGCCGTCCAATAGAGGCAGTGCTCCTAGCACTCGGATCTAGAATGTTTTGAAATGTTTCCTCTTTCAGTGCTGAAAAGTTCGTCACGATTCATTTTGTTTAAAAGACGTTATACGCAAACCGAAAATTAATTTTGGACACCCACTTGGAAAATCCGACGTGGTCAGGTTCCAAAATCGCAAAGTCGTTGGAATTAGCAAAATCGACCGTGTGCAGGGTTCTCAAACGTTTCCGTGAGCGGCATACTATAGATCGGCAGGATCATAGCAAGCGTCGTAGTTGAAATAAGGATCCAAGGCTGCATTTGAAGGTGTTGAGAACGGTTAGGGCAAACCCAGGGCTATCGGATTATGATATCGCCAAGAAATTCAATGCCAGCCAGCAGAAAAAGGAGCACCGTCAGAAGGATTTCGATTTTTTTCGGGCCAGTAAACAACCAAACAGGACACTGAAGCAGAATCTAGTGGCCAAAAGACGTTGTACAATGAGGTTCTTACAAAGTACGAAGGATGCATCCTCATGGACGACGAAACGTACGTGAAGATGGATTAAAGGCAGCTTTCCGGATAAAAGTTCTATAAAGCCACTGGTCGAGGTGATGTCCCTAGCAAGTTCAATTTTGTTTTTGCCGATAAATTTGCAAGAAAGCTTATGATCTTGCAGAGGTTTGCAGCTGCGGTAAAAAAATATCCAAGTTTTCGTGTCAAACAAGACTATGGATTCCAAAATGTACAAGCAGGAGTGCCTGAAAACACGTATTCTTCCGTACATAAAGGCTCACAATGGACCTGTAGAGTTTTGTCCTGACTTGGCAAGCTGCCACTACAGCGGAGAAGTTCTACAGTGACGAGACAACGGGGTATATTTCGTCGAAAAGGAAATGGATCCACTCATCCCTTAATTCCGCACCATTGGGAAATATTTGGCATTTGTCAAATAGATGTTGAAGAAGATTGGAAAGGTGACTCAGGATGCAACAGAGATGAAGAGATGGTGGAACGAAACGGCCGCTCAGGTTAGCCAACAGAATGTCCAAAATATGATGAGTGGTATTCGAAGAAATGTTCGAGATTTCATCAAAACCAAAGTGGTATATTTTTCCTTTAAAGTGCAATAAATGACCTTCATTTTGAGTACTGAACATTTTTATTTCATTAAGATGGTTCAGAGATACATGCGTTTTTTTTTGCGTCCAGATATTAAATTACTCAAGCTTTAAATGTACCGTTGAATAAAACCAACATTTTTAACATTTCAGTAAAACAACACTAGAGGCAGAGGCCTTCCCCCCACTGAGTTCTAACCACTGCTCTCGGCAGATTTTCAATCAACCGTTCTGGTTTTCTGCGAGTGAGTAGTTCTTCATTGACACTACTCACATGCAAAAATCAGCCCGACTGGTTGAAAATCCGCCGAAAAAAAAACGGTGGCTAGAAATCAGTGGGCAATGCGTTCTTTGGGGGATAGCTATATACTAATACACCATCAACCTTGGCCTCGCTTCGGATAGCCCGCATATGTCACTCCCCTTAATTATCATAAATTTTTGCAGCATCGAAATCACACTACTATGACCAGCAGATTCGCGACCACGTTCAACGACCGAAGAATGCTGAAATTTCGGATAAAACCAACACAAGCCGTAAGACAAATATTGAAATCAATTCAATTTATTTTATAAAATATATAATTTCATCCTTCCATTCTAAATAATCTTTTAATTCTATACATGTGTTCACCTTTCCTATCTGGTTAATCCGTTTTCAATCGAAATTGAAGAGTGTTCCTCTCTTAGAATTAGTTAATTTTGTTTAGTTAAATTTAGCAAAATATTACCTCCTGTTCTTTCCTACTTCTCGGTATTACCTCCAAACCTATCTAAAAGTGGAACGAAACGAATAAAAAAACAAGACAACAAGCATGTCGACTATCAGAATGTGTATACTATCTTGATTCCCGTTCCAGGCTGAAGAGTAACTATCCAGATATCAGAAAAAAGACCAAACTCAAGAATCGCTAGTAATGTAATAGGATCTAGTTCTCTGTAAACAATGTATTACGATTTGTTTGGATGTTTCTCGTTCTACTCATTATGACAATAATAACTTTACTTTTATTTAAATAAATATTTGCGAAAAAATAGTGTACACTCCCGCAGCACAAGTAAAATAAACATATGAACTTTCTATCATTCTTCATGATAAAAAAGGGCAATACTTTTCATGATAACCAGTATTCGTAGCATTTTTCAATCGTCTTCCATGTGTGAGTAGATAGGTATATATCATTTCAAACTAAAGCTCCAAGGGTTCTTTTCTATTTTCATAAACAATGACGGTCGGCACAAAAGCGAAGCCTGTATTTACTTAGATTCACCTAAAGCAGCTGATATAATAGCAATATGAACAATCTTTGCTGTAGATGATGAATTGATTAAGAAAAAAACCTCACTATTTACTTTTTCTAATACATCTCATACACAATTTTAAAGCAATAGATTTTGTTGAAACCATCTCAAAATAGAAAATCTCATCTCCGGGTGCCTTTGTTTAACCTCAAGTAGCAATAATAAAAGCAAAAAAGAAGGTGTCTGTGGGGGGTATGAAAGTGAGTACAGAATTATAGTACCAATCATTTTTCTAACGTTCTCAACGATTAGGTATTTTTCAAAGTGATTACGTGTTTTGTTTACGTGATTTTTTTTTGTTCATGTAAAAATGGTAGTATGTGTGGTAACAGTTATCACATTTACGAAAGAAGTACCTATTTTACTTTCATTTGATTTTGTTGTTGTAGCAAAAACGTTCAAAATTGATTTCATTGTTTAGACGTAAAAATTGTTTGCCCTCACCCAGAGCGCCCCTACATGTATGCACGTACAGTTCATCTTTATGTAGTTGGGTTTTTAGCTCCTTTGTTTCATGATTTATTTTTTTCTACAAAAAACATTAGCTTACTAGAGCTTCTACCAATTAGTAGTTCCATTTTAGCAGTCGTTAGGATTATTTTCACTAGTTTACTTCTTTTGTATTTTAACACTTAGTAAGGCATTTATGATTTTCATCCGTTTTTATATATATTAGAGTTTTCTAGCTGTTGTTTGAGAGTTCTGTATGAATTTGAGTAGGGATTGTTGTCTCTTTTCGTAGCGGCGTTAAAGTTGAAGGACGTAGAAAGGAGCGTGGTTCAGAATTTGTTTTGCTTCTCGCTATTGATTTACAGTCATATCTACATTTGGAGCAGCATTTTTCTTTTGCTGGTCAACATTGATTTAGGAGATTTGGTTACTATTTATAGTACGAAGAGGGCAATATTCACTTTTGGTTTTCGGATATAAGTTTTTTTCTTCTATGTATCGCAATAAGTAACCTGTTTTACCCTCACTGTGTTGAGATGCACATGCATATGCTTCGCTTTCCGCCAGTTGTCTGTTTCGGTTCTGGTAAAACTGCTATTGATTCTATGGTTTTGCTATGTAGGAATTGATCTTACGACAGGAATGGATTCGATGACTGTGGATTCATCCAGGGGGCGTTGTTGTTGATGTTGTTCTGCTGGGATACGGTAAAGGGTATCAAATGCAAATTTTATCAATTCAATAAATTAAATTAATGTATAAGCTGTTAGTGCATAAGCATTCAACGAGTCAAAAACCATTAATACCTATTTTAGTATAGTTAAAAAGGAAAATCAAACCAAGCTGAGTATTCGTAATTTTTAATGAATTTATGAAAAATTGTTTTAATAATGTTAGGGGATGACTTTTTTTGATTGAATTAAAATGATTATCGATTATAAAATAAAATGTACATTATTGTTTCAACATTTTCAAAGACCTTAAGCTTGAGCTTGAGTTTGAATGAACGCACATATCGTAGTTGCTATTCCATGATTCAAAAAGCTAGAAAAATTGTACAGCTTGTGTTTAGCTGAACATTCTCATTGAACACATTTTGAAAGCTCATTACGTTAGTCTGAGAATAATGAAAAACGATCAAGGCCTAGATCGAGTAGCGGTTACTAACATTTAATCCAAGCGGTGGCTTCAACGACGAAGTCAACGACCGTCACGAACAAGAAAATACGAATAACAAATCGATGCGATCTGGGATGTTGTCTGGGATAACTGTTAGGCAGACATAGAACACGATAAAATCAAAAGTGAATACTAATGCAGGGCATGAATGCGTTTCTCTTGAAGATGTTTTAATTACACGAGTATTAAAGTAATTAAAGTAATGCTTTTACCTATAGTGAGACAAAAGATCAAGTCTCGCCCCAAAACCGTGTAGTTAGACAAACGCATATGAGCAATTTTCGCTGAAACCGGTCCACAATTGACACGAGGTTCTTGAAAGCTAATGTTTGTACCCCTTTCAGAAGTTCTAATTACACTAGTTTACAAAACAACATAAAAAGTGTGAACTTTAGTGGTTGACCAACGTTTCTAATGCAAAATCCTACGCTGAATTTAATGCCGTGGTCAGAAAAATTAAAGTAGAGCCATTTTTAAGATATACAAAAATTTTGATTTTTTGAATTTTGGACAAAAGTACGATTACTAAAATGTCAATATCTTTGGAATTAGTGCACCAATTTTAAATCTTTTTTTTATGAAAGTGAAGCTAAATAAATTTGCTATCGTTCACTAGAATATTATGTCTTAATTAAAAATTTAATTTTGAAGTCATTTAAAAATATACAGCATTTTTTTTTTATTTTTCCTGCGAATTTTCCATAAAAATCTTGTTTTAATCAACATTTTTAATGGGATAAAAAGATTCTAAAAATCATTCCATAATTTATTCTTAAAGTCCATTAAAAACTGGAGAAAATGAGCCTTTAATGGATGAAATCGGTGGGAAATTGTCGAAGTTATTGTTTACAAAAGCTGCTACGCCCTAATTCCAGGTATTTTTAAGGCAACATTGGGGGTGCAATTTCAAAAAGCAAAGTCAACGCGGCATAAAAGTGGTCTGATTTTGATACAGAGATGATGGATTTTAATTCTTAATACTTTTTTGATGCAACAAAATTTTATCCGATTTTTTTTTTAATAAGAGGGGCTTAAAATTTGCATCAAAAGCATAAACGTAGGTACCATCCGGTATGCTCAGATTCTGTGATTGATGTGTTTTCCTTAACACAGATTTAATTTCTGAATACCATTTCCGGTGTGAATTCCATAAACTGGATTCCAAGCTTTTAACTCATTGGTCCTTTTCAGGACGACAAATGACTGATAAAAGAGTTCACTAAAGAGTTCAAGTAAGAACTTGTATCCAATACACATCGTCCAGGATTGGCTACATGGACACCGACAGAAGACCTCAAAAACAGAACTCTCAAACTGCGAGTTAAGAGTTAAGAAATCAATTTAATATTTACTATACTTTTTCTGTGACATCCAAACTACCTTTCGTAATCCTACGTCAAATCTACGATCGTGTCTTGGATACAACCTCTTACTTGTTTTTCCTTAATAATAAGATTTAAAAAAATGTTGAACAAACAAATTTTTAATAAATATATTTCATATGATAAAACGAAAAATGGTCCATAGCAAAACACGCTCAAATTGATTGACATTCTGTATATGAAAAAGTGTAAAAAAAATTATATATGCCTCAAGATTCAGGAGGGGGTTGGAACCCTACCCTCCCTCCCGCTTTGCTACGCCAGTGGACACATCACTCGAGATTATTAGTGGTCGCATTATGTGCACATTTCGTTTTTATGGAGATTTCTCAGTCTAGGGTAATTCAAACAGTTAGTTTTGCATTGCCCGACGTTTCGGCCGTTTATGTGGCCTTTTTCAAGGGTAAACTAGAAAAATATTACAACCTATAGAGACTACTACTAACATTAAACATTGATATAACATGAACATACACAGTCTACCGTTTGTCGTCAATTTTTGTTTGTTTGTTGCCACGATAAGCGTGTTTAGCTTGGAGGAGCTTCCTGTATGGTGCCTGCATTTTAAATGTTGTTAAGGTACTATTTCACGGTATTTTGTTTTACTGGACTTACATTGAGTTTAATATAAATTAACATAGGACACTATATGACACTACACTATACAGCGGTTATTTTGAAGAAGATGGTGGGATAAAGCATACACAAAAGTAGATAAAGCTCATCTATGTCGACTCGTTCGTTCAACAACATGGCTAAGCGTTTAGCAGATCTGAAGCTGATCGACCAATACACATGCCGGACACTCCAAACACAAACATCTACCTGCCCGCGGATTTATGGACAACCTAATAAACCAAACAACAACCCATAAACCAAACCTTCCGTTGCGCCCTGTTGTCCCCAACATAACTGCTCCAACATATCAGCTCTCCAAGTTCGTAGCAGGAATACTACAAAGCGCATACAATATCAAGGATAGTTTCACGTTTGCAACCTACATCAACTCTGTTACACTACCACCTGATCATGTACTCGTATCTTTCGATGTAATATCGCTTTTTACCAATATTCCGAAAGATTTGGTCATACGCAGCATCATGTTCTGATGGACAGACATCAAAGAAGGAACAAATATCAACCTGGATATGTTCCTGGAAATGACAGAATTGTGCCTCAGCAGCAGCTATTTTCAATTCAAAAACAAATACTACCAGCAGATGTTTGGAACCGCTATGGGTAGTCCACTATCTCCCATTCTTGCAGATTATGTGATGGAGGACCTACTGGATGTGGTCATCGAAAAGCTAAATTTTGCCATACCAGTGCTAAAAAAGTATGTAGACGATTTGTTCCTCGCTCTACCCAAATCGGAGGTACAAAACATCCTTATGGCCTTCAACCAGTACAACCCACACCTACAATTCACAATCGAAATGGAAAACAATGGAGCTCTACCCTTCTTGGATACCCTAGTTTTTCGCAACAATGACCAAACCATGAGCACAGAGTGGTATTCAAAACCCATCGCCTCCGGACTCTTGCTGAATTATCACTCTTTCCACCCAACGACCATGAAGATAAACCTCACAAACAACTTCATAAAACGCGTCCAACGGCTGAGCACTAAAACAACAAGAAACCAACAGAAACAAATAATTTTCCAACATCTCCGACAGAATAATTACCCTTCATCGTTGATAAACAGGCTAATTAACCAAACCCGTAATACAACTCAGGAAAAACCTTCGCAGCACTCAACATCATCGATACCGCTAACACAAGAAAATCTACCGACAGCATCCAATATCCAAGATCCAACGCCTACGCAATCAAAACCACCAACAACATCACAGCATCACACCAATAGTTCACCTTCAGTCCAGCTTTCCACGACCCATGAACGACACGAAAACAACAACCAAATTTCGGAACAACTAAAATACCGATCAATGCCAAACATCCCAATCTTGACGTCAGCACTTGCCGCAATCCTAAAAACAGAATACCCTACAGTAAAAATAGCTCCAAGAACGATCGAAACAACCAAAACACTCCTACAAAGGATCCAATATTACCACAACAACAACACAACGTCATCTACAGCATCCCATGTAGGAATTGCGAAAAAGTTTATATTGGTATGACCACAAACCACTTAAAAAAAAACGATTAAGTGGACACAAATCCAATCTAAATAAACTCGCAGAAATCCTACAAACGACAAAGCACATCCATGCGAAAATCTCACTTATACAACACATAGCAGATCACCAGCACACGTTCAATCTTGAAGGTACAAAAATAATCGATCGCACCTACTGAAGTTCTGCTTTATCGATGCTAGAAATGTGTCATATCAAGAGCAAATTTTCATTACGTCGAATGTAACAAAGGTAAACAAAGTCGAGCTATCAGTGTCAATCGATTCTCCTGCTATTACACTATATACTGTCCGAATATAGGATCATATCCCATTTTTAAATTTATTTACCAGTCGAATTGCTTTTTGACGTTATCACCTTCCGATCAAAATAGTTTTCGATGTTACTTAAGTCACCCAATTTCTATGGAGATGCCGTTTGACTTAAGTAACAGCGCTGAGAAACCCGTGAAAAGTGTACGTTCGTCGTTTCGCTTTCTCATTATTAAAGTGAATAAATCGAACTGTTTGTTGCTAAGATGATTTCGGTGGTCCTAAAATGATGAATGGGCTGCACGTCAGGAGACGTAATTGATAATTCTCCCGAATATCCTGGTAAATACACTTTGACTTAAGTAACAATCGGGGCCACCAAACGACGTATAATAACTTTTGACTCAAAAACCAGTATTTTTTAGCATGAAAGCTAGCGATTTGCATTTGTATGATTAAAACCCTGCTTAATATGTTAAACATTGCTATCACTATGAGATTATATGTGTTTACTTGGAAATAGGAATAAATTTTCGGTCATCAAAACAAAACTTTATTTTTCTCGGATTGGTGCGAATGTTACTTACGACATAATGAAAATTTGCTCTTGATATAAACAACACATCTAACACCGTTAATTATAGAACAGATGTAGCGGGGCTAAACACAACGTACGCTGGTATTCTCCATACCGTGAGAGCTAATCTCTCACGCAGAGAACGATCACGAAACAATACACACAGTCAAGTTTCAACTTGTTCACAAAGCACGAACGAGTCGACATAGATGAGCTTTATCTACTTTTGTGTATGCTTTATCCCACCATCTTCTTCAAAATAACCGTTGTATAGTGTAGTGTCATATAGTGCCCTATGTTAATTTATATTAAACTCAATGTAAGTCCAGTAAAACAAAATACCGCGAAATAGTACCTTAACAACATTTAAAATACAGGCACCATACAGGAAGCTCCTCCAAGCTAAACACGCTTATCGTGGCAACAAACAAAAAAATTTGACGACAAACGGTAGACTGTGTATGTTCATATTATATCAATGTTTAATGTTAGTAGTAGTCTCTATAGGTTGTAATATTTTTCTAGTTTACCCTTGAAAAAGGCCACAATAAACGGCCGAAATGTCGGGCAATGCAAAACTTACTGTTTGAATTACCCTAGACTGAGAAAGCCATAAAAACGAAATCTCCATAAAACCAGTCGAACAACCAAATCAATTATGTGCACATGTACACAGTGGTCCACCCGGACATGTTCCGGATATCCCCAGGGAGGCGGCCAATTTCTGAATTGGACCAAACCCTTTTAAGTGACACCATTGAGTGACACCTCAAATCACATGACAATTCGAAAACAAGTTCAATGCTAGTTGTATTGAGTGCCCTGAACATATTATGCATTCTGACATGCTCCGGGTGCTCCCTGGGATATGGTGAATTTGAATTGGACTTGATTTTATTCAAATTTTATTTTTGATTGAAAGCTCGGGAAAGATATGAGGAGTCGATTTGACGTTTTCGACCATTTTTTGGTGTTGACATTCTTTATTCCCTTACTATAGAAACTCTAAATGACTTGGATGATGCCTTTGATATCATATCGTCTTACTTATGATAAAGCTTGCCCCTTGCGGAGGCTACTAGAGGTGGTGGAATTCTGATCTAGCTAAGCTCAGGAAACAGTGTAAGTCTTGGAATACACTCCTGATGAATGTGGGCGTCTTAGTTGAATACCTGTATAAAGAGAGAGAGAAGGATTTGTAATTTCCATTTAATTCCACTACCTTATTTGTTTATCCTTGACATGGATAAGAAAATAAGGTAGTGGAATTAAATGGAAATTACTTATCCTTCTCTCTCTCTTTTTATACTTGGAATAGACGTCGTTCAGGAGGCCAGCTCGCAAGGCTTACAAAAAGAATCTCAGATTTGCTGAGCGATCTGGTTGGAAAAGTCGTTGTTACCAGTTTGAGCGATTAAACAAAACTGTAGTTAGTTGTTAGTGGAATGCTCAAAAACAGCAAAGAAAGGATATCGACAATAATGTGCAGTCTTCATCAGTGTCATTCCCACTAAAGACTTATCAAAATCTAACCCCCATAAGAACTCATTCAAAATTCAAATTCCTTAAGTAGGGGAAATGGATGTAATGTCGGCCTAAATGCCCCTAATTTGGGCCCATACATAAATTCAGCAATCGACAAAATTTTCATAGCGACCAAAAATATCCATAAATAGCAGATTTTTAACGATGGGCCCAATATTAGATCCATAGGCCAACATTAGAGCCATTTTCCCTATTCGTCAGAAAATTCTTCTACTTCTACTGATGAACAAATGTTGGAACACACTTTCCAGGATGAGTGGATTTAACATAATCTGATAAACCTACTGGCTTTTCAGACAGTTGTGAAACTTTGGCCCAAGTCCGCAAGGTCGTGGCGAAACGAATAGAAGTGAGATAGTGATGTATTTGTAAACCCATCGGTTATTTTTTTAGATTTAAAAAGCAATAACAACTAGATAGGGGAAATTACGGCTTGAAGTAAATAAAACAATAAAACCAAAGATAGAAAAAAATAACGAAATGAAGAAATTACGGGGCCGAAGCCGTCATTTCCCCAAGAAGGAAACATTAGAAACGAAACAAATAAACGATGTAATAAATGCATTAGAAATATACGACATATTAACACAGAAAATACATTCTAATGGTTGATGATAACAAACAAAAAGCAACAAAACCATGAAAGCAGTTAGTAACAGCACATTAAGCAAAATACTAGCATCAAAACCTGGTTCCGGGAATTTACCAGACTCTAAAACTGTTAATTAGCACTATCATTTCGAGCTCGTGTTATAAAAGTACTGGTAGTAGTAGCAGTAGTAAGTAGCAATAGTAGCACTATTCTACTGTCCCGTCTATAGAGCATTCCGTTTTATTTTAGCGTCCAAGCTCCCATTGGCTGCTATGTAGGCAGGATTCACAATGACCACACATGATAGCGTTTTATGAACGATTGTTGTTTTATCAAATACGCGATGAGTGTGTGCATGATTAGGAAGGTATCGTTTTGAGGCGGCATGGAAGAGAGAAAGAACAGAGATTATGATTGATAACTAAACTAGTACTGATGATATTCGGGCAACACGTCTTGCTATTAGGAAGGTACGATGTATCTGTTTGCCAAGTGAGAAATCTGTCTACGTCATTTTAGCACTTACTAATTTCGAAATGAGGCTTACTCACATGGTCAGTTTTGAAATTGTTAGTATCACACTGAATATCGTCACCAAAACCAAAGTCATACAGATCGCTCAATTCCGACTGGCTATTATAGATGGGAGCCGGATGAGCAGGTGGTAGTCTTGGGTTAGTAATAGTTTCCAGTGGAGCATTGGCGTTACTGGGCTGTTTGCCAATGTACGTGGTTGGAAGGAAATTTGCATCGAAAGTTTCGTCATCTCGGTCATTGACCGAGCCAATAGGACGATTGTTATTATCGTAATCAAAGGTATCGGGAGGTGAATTGTTGTTATTAGAGTCGAAACCATGATCAATATCGTCGGTTAATCCAAACGAGGAAATATTGTTAGAAGAGTGGCCCATTCCAGTGCTATAGTTATGCTCACCAAACTTGACGGAAGGCATACAGTGACAGACATACGACATTAGAAAGTTATTTCGTTCGCATTATTTAGGCGAATGGTACTTACTTGCGCCGCCGCAGCTGGATTGACTGGTGCCCATGGATCCTGGTTGAGCGTCACTGGGAAAGGCGACTGTTTCAGCTGATTAATGGACGGAACCTAGAATGCGCATACAGCATCGTTAGAATATTTTTATCGTTAGAATTAATTCAGAAGCTACCAACCTGTGGTTGGTTTTGCTGGAACAGGTTTTTCTGCACTGGTGCCGATTCACCAAAAGGATTATATGCCGGCGCCCCTGCCCCTGTGCCAGGTGCGTTCGTTACTGGTTTGATGAGGTTGTCCAGATTGACCAGCGAGGAGTTTTCACCGAGGAACGAGGCGGGCGTCTTTTTCGTTGTCGTCGTGGCAGATGGAGTGGAATTGCTGGCTGAACTGGAGGTGTTACTAGAAGATAACGGATCTAGGTCGTCCAGTAAGGATCCTGGTTGGTGGATTTAGATTAAATGAGCAATTGGACATAGTCTATATGAGTTTGTAGCATACCGCCATTGTTATTCAGGTTATTGTTGACAGCGTTGTTGTTATTGCTCCGTTTGGTGATGATATCGAACTCATCTAGGTCTGAAGCCGGCGAGGTAATAGCTCCTACAGGAGATGGTCGGTTTGCAGGGAGCTGAAAGATAATCCATTTTCAGTCATTTACTGCCATGTGCGGCATCCTAAGCTAAGTTCAGCAACAACATGCCAGCAAATCGAAATCAAATTTTGATATAATCATCAAACTGGAATCATAAATTGATTTCAATTGTGTCATTCGATAACAAACTTGATGCAGCTTTGATTTCATTGCGTCAGCATAACATCAAACTAAATACTCGGTTTGTTATCAACCGGAAAATGTACATCAGATTGAGTGTTCAGTTTGCTCTCACTTTTATCAGAATTCGTTTTCAATGTGATGTCACAGGAATATTTTTGACGTTGGATTACGTCTTTCGGCAAATATTGGGGGTGCAATTTAAAAAAAACCAAAATCAAACGCGTTACGAAAAGTGGTCGGGTTTTGACCACTTATAACTCTGTCAATAGCGGGCGGATTTTAGTTCTTAACAAGCCAATCGATTGGAAAGATTTCTACGAATCTGCTAAAATGAACGCTTTATCAATTTTCAATAGGTCACTGTTAAATATTACACGAATGTCCAATTGTTGCAATGGGGATAAAAAATATCACAGATTTCCTGCAAAAAGTGGTTTCCCTAACACAGTCGCCAAATATTGATACCGAGCACGTAGCCCTACGTCAAATCTACAGTCGTGTCTTAGATACAACCTTACTTTTTGTCTTCATTTTTTGTCGAAAATGTATTATACCGTGTGTTAACCGTTCACCGCTCGACGCCTCATTCTTTCAAAATTGGTTGCGAAGTTCCCAAAATGAGTTCTAGATATGCGTTAAACTAATGTCGTTTGCCAACAAACGATGTTCAGCTGTTAAAGAATCGCGCTTATTCCTGCTTACACTAAACAGGCGCTACACCGCAAAAACGAAAACGACATAACTTATTCACTCGTTTAAGATGCCTGCTGATCATATTAAAGCATCGAAATTTTTATTTCACTCTTTATTGTTGAAAAAAAAAAACGTTTGTTTACATCCATATGAGCGGTTAATGGAGACCCAACAACGTTCAAGGGTTCCGTTCACAGCTTACTCAAAAATAAAATTCAAATAGACATTGCTACCAATGTTTCATAACAAAAATGAGTATTTAATCAATATCTGATACCTTAATAACTAATATAATGCGTTAAATGGCCAGAGAAGACAGACAATTCAAAAAGTGAACATTTCCACTACGACATGAGCGGAGAATGCACTAATATGTCTCGAAATCAATTTTAACAGCATTGTTTTTGATGTTTTATATTTTATCCACAATCTTATATTCGGCCCAACTTCTACTAGACATAGAATTTAGTGAATTTTGTTACAAACAGTGAACAAGTAAAGCTAACGTGATTGAGCCTTCCAAATAAACGAACTGGATAAAAAATCCACAATCTTATGATAATGACCTTAGGCTAGTGAAAAATTGGGCTCATATATTTATGAAAAGTAATTCTACCAGCGACGTTAACTTGATTTTGCTCTAAAGTGAGCGGTGAACGGGCACCACACGGTACATTGGAACTGATTTCTGGACATGAACTATGAACTGTACAATGTACACGAAAAATGTCCTGCTTTGTTAAGAAAATGTTACGCAAAATACCAGAACTCTGTTGTCCCATCCATAAGAGCCAATTGAGAAAACAAAATCTCCAACAGCGTTTTTCTCAGCTTGCCGTTTTAACGAGTGGGACAATTATGCTAAAACAGGACAGTTTATTCATTTTACCGCAAAAGCTCCATCTGCAAGTGGCGCCCAAGGGTCGTGTTTAGCAGGGGTTGAACTTGGTGGCTGCCAGGGATCAGCCGTAGGCACTGGTGTAGCTCGTTTAGGTTGCCACGCGTCGCTCTTTAAAATGTTCAAGTCATTATTATGTAGGTACCATTTCTGATGGAATACTAGTTATACTTACTGCACTAGGAGCAGATGATTTGAGCCATGGGTCAACGTTTCCATTGGTTCCTGGTGGAATTACTGCTCCAGCGCCTGTACCATTGTGAAGCCAACCTTCGACAGATGAACCGGACGTTACCGAAGGTGAATGTGTCCGTGGTGGAGCCCAAACATCCAATCCAATCCCTGCGGCTGCTAGTGGTGGTTTAGATGTCGGTGGAGGAAGGGCCGAGGCACTATTGAGCCAAGGATCAATCACTGGCGGTGAGGAGGTTCGTGACCATGGGTCTGAAGTCTGAAAAAGACCAAATATATGTTAGATTTTCTCATAGCAAACGATTGTGCAATTATTTGATATCATTCTAGCAATACATATTTCATTCGGAGGGGGATATCAACAACATACCGCAGAATGCGCCCTTTCCTGAATATTTAATGTCTAGATTTCAATTTCGAAATTAATTTCCAACTGTGAATTAAATTAAACACTAACGGAGCTATTTACCTGTGGTCTCGATCCTCCGGCCACTGGCAAGCCCCAAGGATCGGTGCTTGTCGATGGTCCGGGTTGTTGTGAAGGACTGGAAATACTGGCGGCCCCGAATGAAATGTCCAGCAGATCGACCAGGGCACTATTTGCCGGCTTCACGTCATCTTGACTGCAATCATTAAATAATTAAATATAAATGTTGTATTGCATTTAATACAATTTCAAACGAACGACATACCTAAAGTCCTGCTCGCTCTGACTAAGGGCCAGCTGCAACCGTACATCGTCGCTCCTTCGCTTCTGTTCTTCCTGTTCGGCTTCTTCACGTGACATCGCCATGGCCAGCTGTAGCTGCAGTTCTTCCTCTCCCACCGTCTGAGGTCTGACGAATTCAATTTCCGACACTGGTCGGCCAGTTGGTTCTCCTTCACCCCAATTCGGAGGCTGTAATGAAAAAAAAAATCAAATCAGCCCGCTGAATGCAATGCCCTGCAAATGAGTGTCATTCTTACGCGAGCATCTCTGGTGGTGGGACCGTCGATGGATCCATCCGATCCGAACCCACTAGCTGTTCGGGCAAATCGTTCCTTTGCCTTTAACGCCCGCGCTCGTTCATTTTTCAGCCGTTCGTCATCCTTCAGCAGCGAAACCAATTGTTTGGCCTTCTCCCGCACATGCATTCCCTGGTCCTTTCCCTCTTCGATGTATTGAAAGTCTTTTAGCGTCTGGATTGCGTAGATGTTTTCCTTGCATTGCTGTGCCACCTTTTCGGTACCCGTTTTGATGAGGTATTCCAACAGCAGCAGTGCCTTGTACACGTGGCGCCAATTTTTCCCATGGTCGTTGGTCCGCTTCCAAATCATTTGCATAATCTCCGAAAAGGCTACCACGTTGTAGGTAAGATCAGCGATCTCCGCCATGATAGTTGACGAGGGGCCCCATGGGTCGTTGGAGGTCGCCTCGCGAACTTTAATCTAGAAAATAGAAAATGCGTCACGAACTTGAAATGATTGACTAATGCGAAACCGTGTACCTGGGCATCGGAATAGTTGTGTGCAAGATTCTTGATGTTTCGGCGTATGCCAGCAACGTTCATCTGCGTGTCGTTTCGTTTCACTGGAAGAAGGAGGAAATCAAGTTAGACGAAAGTAATGCACTGGTTTGACGGTTCATAGTGATGAATAGTTTACTAGATTATAAAAACAATGGTGATTCATTCGTGCGGGATACGATTTGATCCCATTTCGAAAAAGGATCGTGAAACGTCGATGCCTATTTTGTATGGCAGTTGGGTAGAACGAGCAACTAGAAAAGGGGCCAGGAAGCAGGTTGCTGTACGGCGTAATCAGGGAAATTAAAATAAACAACTGAAATAATAAGCAGTTCAAATTTGGTACAGTTGCTGGGGACCTAAATACAAATCAAAAGAGCTGTGGGAAACTGGGGGTTGTGATTCACCATATAAACTTGATTCACCCTACTGTACACCATTTCAAAATATAAATTTCTGCGATTTATAACGCTCTCGTAGTTGGATTAAGTTTACATAATTTACTGCATACATGGGGACCGGCAAAAGCCGATTATCAATTTCCTGCCTTTTCCCGTTTTATTGTCGGAATTCTGGCAATTTACCCGGTTCTGCTATATGCATTGAAATTAAGCATAAAACCAAATACGATTGAGTCGAAGAGGTCACTAGGTTAAATGAACCATAATAGCATTTTTCATGGATTTCGATTTTTTTGGGCGCGTTCGGAATCTTCAACATTTGTCTAAGTTTGAACTACCTTGATCACCTATGTAGAACATGTCAAACCGTTTAGTTGAGATTATAAGACCAAAAAAGCCAAAACAGTGATTTTAAGGTACTCCTGTCCAGGGGTTGAAACAGTTGACGTTTTTTACTACACTCGCTTCGTTGTCGTGCGCGACAGTCTGTTTGTATTCGAACACTCATGCTCTACCGTCGTCTCTCTCACGCAACACGAGCGGTAGAATAACATTCGAGCTAAAAGAAAATTATCAAAATAGCTATCATATGACATGTGCGATTTCGTTGTAATTCCTCAATGTGGTGTAAATCAAACCATTTCTGATCAGAAATATTATTTCTAGGACATCATTACTTGCTATTTTCAGAATTCACACAAGTACAACATCAGCAGCTCTTAATATGAGAAAAACTAAAATACATACCTACGTGACGGTCTTCGGCGACAGTGTCGTATGACAGAGCCTGTCATATTACATTTTAGTTTGGTACTGTACTATGATAGCTTGTCTTGCAAGTGTCGGAGGCAAAGGCAGTCAATTATCACAGAAAATGTGTCGACTACCGTGACCGCTTACAAGACTGCTCCTGTCAAGAGTTCACTTAAATATTGTGAATCATTATCATATAGAAGTTTGGTGTCTTGAGCAAAGTTTCATAAAATTTGTTTTTCTACAACATTGCTGAAGACATAAAGCTATTATCTCGAACCAGTAAAAAAATAGTTTTTGCAAGTGTAATACCAGCTTAATAAAAATTTGGGTAATTATTTCAAAAGACGTGGACCATTATTACGAGAAACTTCTTCAAGACACCAAGTCTCTTAAACGACGATAAAGGAGAGAAAAAGGTATTGACCGTCTTTTTTCAGAATGGTCCCACTGTGTCCTGGTCTGAGTTCCTCTGGTATATTTAATTAGAGGATGTTCCTGAATATACAGCCAAACAGCACGTAATGTTGTGAACAACTTCAGTGACCAGCAGTGCTCCCATTTTATTTACAACAATCAAATGCGTACGAGATTGTGCCGATGGATGTGGCCAAGCTGTGCCGAATCTAATTGCGGCACAATGTGCTGAGTGACTTACCCCTTGGTATTTCTACATAATTCTACATGGAAACTTATATGATGCACATGCGCATCTTGTAAGTTTACATGTCTGACTTATATGACCCGCTTGTAAAGTTACTTGCTTGAAGCAGTTACATAGCAAAAGCTGTAAAATTAGATATACATTTGTACATGCTCCATTTTTTACCGATTGAAACAGATTACATCGCATGTAATTTTAATTATTTTTTAGTGTGTAACTAGCATGTAGGAATGCCAATCTGACATTGTTGATGTTATCACTAGTTTTTTAAATTATTTTGAGGCAATGAATCCAGGCATATAGATAAATTGTGCGCATTGGCACATAAATTGATATTTCAGAATGCTAAATACTCATGATCTTTAGTGGGTAGGTAATGCCAGCATTAGATGATAACTGGGGAAACTAGTATAAGAACGGTTGAAAAAGCAAGCCTCAACTCAACTAAAATAATCTAATCTAAATAATCTAAGCATTATAAAGTAAAGGGCGAACACGAAAATATTACAACACATTGCATTTGCTTTCAAATTTCACGTATTTATCAGGTACAAACAAAATTTTTAGGGTGGCTCAGTATACATTAGACTGATGCAAATTTTGACATTTTCGCTCCATAGTGCTCAAACAGTTCCAAAACGGGTCCTGATTAGTCTCCCAAAATTTGAACTCATTCTATAAGAAACTGACTTGGCACAAACCATTTGAAGTTTATATGGAAATTACTATAGGAAAACCAAATGTTTTGTTCATATCCATCTAACAATTTATCATATCGCTCTGCTTTAAAAAATGATAACTGAGCTTGTAGAAAATTTTCTCAGCTATAACTTTGTGCTGAACCACTTTTAAATATAATGTAAGCATCAAAAGTTATCAATAATTCAAGCCACTAATGTCTTACGATTATGCTCAATCAACTGTTCAGCAGGCAACATTGGTGTTTCTGGCGCTTGGAATAGAGTACAAAAATCATGGCTACTATGTCACACTGCAAGATACAGTGTTGCTCACAAAACAGCTGCTTGATCATGCCATAAGATTATCAATCTCTTAAACAATTAATAACTATTTTATTTGACGTTTGGCTCAACAACTATATTCTGCTAAGTTGAAGCTGAGAAAATTTTCCATAACTATGTCTTTTGAATTTTTTTAACAGTGTAGTATGGAAAAAGTTAAGAAGACAATGAACACAAAGTTTGGATTTCCCATAGTAATTTCCATATAAACTTCAAATGGTTTGTGGCAAGTCAGTTTCTTTTCAAATGACTTCAAATTTTGGGAGACTAATCAGGACCCGATTTGGAACCGTTTGAGCATTGTGGAGCGAAAATGTAAAAATTTGCATCAGTCTACTATACATATATTAGATCAATCTTTGGGGGTTGTTTGGTAAAATGCCCGACACTTTTGCTTCACGCCATCCATAAGAGCTTGTACAGTCGTATCCGGTACCTTTAACTCATTTTTTATCCATTTCCTCCGCATGTCTTTTGCGTCCTTTACTTTCTCCTTGGTTTATCTGAGTTCCCGCTTCATAATGGCCCAAAAGATTTCGATTGGGCGTAGTTCTGGACAGTTCGGTGGATTCATGTCCTTGGGGACAAAATGCACCGAAATAGCCTCATACCATTCCAGCACGCTTTAGAATAGTGACATGAAGCTGCCCCAAAAATGGCAGCAGACGTTTTTGGAAGCATTCATTTTTGTAAATTTCACCATTGATGATGCCTTTTGTGACGAATATTTTACTTCTTTTTCCACAGGTGCAGATAGCCTGCCAAATAATCCATCATCCACTTGGAACTAATCTTTTCCGGTGTAAAACTCCTGTGCTGATATTTTTTGGAAGTCAGCTTTGACGAATGTTTCATCATCCATCACACAGCAACTGTATCTGGTCAACATTTCTGTGTAGAGCTTCCTTGCGCGAGTTTTGGCAACAGTTTGCTGGCGTTCATCGCGGTTTGGGAAGTTTTGAACCACGAATGCATATAATCCAGCTCTTGCATTTCCTAATAGAACTTGTATAGTTATTTTGCTTAACGACGTGTTCAGGGTATCATCCAAACCATTTGTGGAATAATTCGATCATTTGGATTATCGTTCGGGTATGGTTTTTCTTTTATTAGGGTTGACCTACTGCACGTAACTTTGCGAAACACCGACCTTTTCGGCAACATCACATGTTGAAACGTTGGGATTTCGGGTGAAATCACCCTTCACCTTTCCTTCCGTCTTCCTACATGCTGCACCCGGTTTCTTTCCTGCTCCGTGCTTGTGATCCAATGTCAACCGGTCCTTGAACCTGTTTGTAACTCTTGATACGCTTGATGCAGTATGCAGTATTTTTCCTATAGCACGATGGGACAACTCCGGATTTCACTTGTCTCTTTCCTATCTTAGCCTCAACGAAACAGACAATAACGCAGTTTGCAGGATGTAAACATTGAACTTCAAAGAGAAACTATGCAAAGTTTGGTTAATTTCCGCCTAGTAGGAATAAATATACAGACAGTTGTAAGTGTTGCAATAATTTCGTGTTCGCCCTTTAGCCCTTCATGCTATTAGAATGTTTTTTTTTAATTAATCAATTTAATGACATATTAAAAGCTTATCCTGCTAATATATCAAAATTAGCTCTTGAATTCATGGTACCAAAATATCATAACAATAGCAAATTAAGCCCTGAAAGCAGAATAAACTGTTATTATTATTAATTACTTTATTTGTACAGGCTCAATCGAATAAACTTTACAGAGCCGAGTTATCATTTTTGTTATACATTATTGATTTCTTATATTTAAAGTTAAAGGAGCTGGACCGGATACTCGCGGTTGTCTCGAGGTTAGTGGGGATTTACAATTTTTTTTGGATGGGAAAAGGGAGAGGGAGGTTTGAAATGTGGTTTACGATACAAATATTTAATTAATCCTAAAACATGAACGAATTTCTATTCATCTTGAAAACAAACATAAAAAAAAAACCCACACGTACAAAATACAAACTAAACACATGGTTAATAAAACTTACAATCTAATGTTAATATTCTTAAAGTAAACATATATGAGTTTCATAAACTCCAGATCGCGTCTAGCCAAAATATCCCGAACTGGAACATTAGGTTGTCTACCTCGAGCCCGAAGGGAATCGTACAGTTCAGATCTGACTCCGCGATGCTCAGCACAAGACCAAATAATGTGATCTGCGTCCTGGTAACCTTGTCCACATTCACAGAGATTGC